ACCGAGATTCAACGTCTGAGTGACTAAAAGAGAAAGGGAACAGGAGCTTTCTTCTTTTCCTCAGTAGCCTCCTCCCTCTTCTGCTTTCCTAAATTCTTTTCTTTGAGACAAATCATATTTAAAGACAAAGAAAACAACAGTGCATGTAAAGCTTCGGGCCTCACCCAAAACATTATAAAATGAGCTATAAATCCAGGAACACACTGTCTGCACACTCTGTAGCTTTTCAGAAGATCTAGGCCAGGCGACTGGGGAGGGGATGTGGGGCTGGAGGTGACTCCTCTGCCTCCTCCAGGGCTCGGAGTCCAGGACGGCTGCGAGTGAGCGCTTCCCTCCCTTGGGGTCCGGTGTGCAGCAGGGTCTGGGGTGGGCCCGCAGCAGCCAGCGGGGTTAAGAGCAAGACTGAGGTGTGTGAAGTTATCTGGCTGCTGGGGCCAGCGCCTTCCAACTCCCCACACTTGCTCTTGTTCACTGACTTTTAAATGGATCCCACATGTTGCTATCAGTGCACCCAAAACTTTTTCTTTTTATTATATTGAGCATTTATTGTACATAAAAGAGGAGGTGGGCACTGGCATTTGAAGATGAGCTTTCTTGTAGTCTGGTGACCACTGTGGTGGAATTCTGACTGTTTAGAGAGCACTGCTTGATAGAATTATCATGTGAGCTTCATATATCATCATCTTCGTCATCATCATCTGATTATTTGAGACAGGGTTTTGGTGCATAGTTCAGGCTGGCCTTGAACTCACTATGTAACCCAGGCTGGCCTTAAATTTGCGGTAATCCCTCCTGCCTCAGCCTCCTAAATGCTAGGGAGGAGGCATGCCCTACAACTCCCTACTCACAATAAACATTTTCTTTGAGCATTCATAATGAAATATTCTACATTATTTCATTTTTTTTTTGAGTTTTCAAAAATCTAGATTTTTTTTTTTTTGTGTGTGTGTGTTTTCTGAGACAGGGTCTCATTATGTAGTTGAGACTGACCTAGAACTCACTGTGTAGCCCAGGCTGGACTCACAGCAATCTTCTTGCCTCAGCCTCCCGAGTACTGGGATTACAGACGTGCGCCACCACACCCGGCTCTAGATGGATTTTATATGTACAACTATCTGAATTTGGACTCACCCTGTTGGTGCTGTTCAACAGCCACATCTGACTAGTGACTCCCATACTGGACAGCACACGGGCAGAAAGGAGCTGTTTCTAAACTAGCATGCGCAGCATGGGGGGACGCTGGCCTCCGTGGAAGCCTGTCCTCTGTACCCAGGAGCACTGGGAGGGGAGCAGTTCATTTTGTCTGGGAATTGCTTCCCAAGGCTCCCCGAGGAGGGGTCTTTAGCACCCGGGCTTCATTGCACCCAGAGGGGAGGGCACCTTTGGCAAAGTTGAGCACCCATCTGAAGACTGGTGGAACGGGGAAGTCCTCTTTCTGGAGCCACTTTGGTCCCGACATTCTTCCTCTGGGCTTGAGGGGAGCCTGCTGCCCAACAGCTCACGCCAGAGAACGGCTTCCCAGCCTCAAGTATCACCCGGGTCTTGTTAAAACATGGATTCCTCTTGGAAGCCCAGAGCCCAATCTTCTTTAAGTAGCCTCAATAACTGTGTTTTTTTTTTTTTTTTTTTTTTTTTTTTTTTTATTTTTTTTTTTTTTTTTTTTTTTTTTTGGCGGTACCAGGGATCGAACTCAGGGCCTTGTGCTTGTGAGGCAGGTGCCCCAGCCCTGCATTTATTTTTATAAATAGTATTCTTAATGGCTGTCAATCTTACTTGCCTTTAAATAATTTCTGAAGTTTAACCTTTTCAAAATACATTGTTCCAACAAGGTAAAAAACAAAACAAAACAAAACACTCCCCAGAAAGAAAAGCACTGATTCCTGGGCCCTGACAACAGAGTTTCTCTTCAGTGGGTCTGGGATGGGGCGGGAGGATTTGCATTTCCCAGTGGTCCCCAGTGCTGCTGCTGCTGCTGCTGCTGCTGCTGCTGCTGCTTGGGGGACCAGTCTTCCAAACCATTGGCTGGTGGATAAGTAAAGCCATCAGGCATTCTTGTAACAAACATGCCCAGCTCAGTTCTCTGACAGCTACTGCTTAGCATTAGGGATACAGTGGCAAGCAAGAGGAATGGAGGCTTCTACTTGGGTGGCGCTTCTAGAGTGGACACAAGTGGCAGAAGTGGCACCTCAGGGGCATGGGGTCAGCCCGACCAGTATCTTACCACTGGCTCCAAAACTCTTTTGATACAAAAATCACGATGCATTGACATCCAAGATTATTTTTATTCTCCAAAAGGAAAAAAAAAAATCTGCCATTTGATGGATGCCTATTATGTGACAGAATTTGTGCCAGAGGCTTTACAGGTATTTACATCGCATTATGATGACCTGAGCATCTGTTCTGTCCCCTGCTCCGCACACAGGTGGGGCTGAGTCTCAGGGAAGGCCCTGCCCGTTTCCTGTCTGTGACAAGGGTGTGTGGAGCTATGGTTTATCCACAGGCTGCCAGGTGCTGCTGAGTCCTCAGGCTGGTCTTCCTAGCATTGCCTTCCCCTCTGCTAGTGCTTCCAGATAGCTCTTTACTTGCCAGGTTCCTGCTCAACCTGTATTATTTAATTCACAGGACCTCGCACATGGTACCTGCTGAATAAAACTTTCTTGATTGAATGGGCTAAGGAATGCAGTGAATTTGGGGAAAGTTTCAGGAGGAGGTGCCCTTTGCTCCAGTGGGCTGAGAAGACATTCTAGGACAGTAGTGGTGAACCAAGGGCCCTTGTGCTGCAGTGGGCTTTTGGTTATCATTGAAAGCTCTAAAAGGTTCACCACCGCTGTTCTAGAGCTAGGGACATGGAGAGGAGTGGCCTGGTAGCTTATCTGGAGGCAGCATTGAACTTGGGAGGGGCAGGGGCCTGGGGTTTGGGAGGATGGTGTATCCTGTACAGATGAGCCTTGGGTAGGTGCCAAGTGGACATCATTCTGGGGACACTGTCGAGGTTAACAGGGGTTCTGCTTTTTATTTTAGGAGAGAGCCTCTGAGTGTTTGGGGCAACTGAGCCATGGCTGCCTTTTTTTCTGTATCAAGCAAGACCTCAGCACCCATGCTCCCATGATGGGTGCGTGGAAAGGAAGAGAGGAGGAAGATAGTAGTTGAGATTCAAGCTCCAAACCATATTCTTAGGATCAAGTCTTAGCTCTGCATCCCTAAAGAACATGACTGTGGGCAAGTCACTCAGCTGCTTTGAAGCTGGGTTTCTTTTTATGAAAAACACTCCCCCCATCACCTAATCCATTACAGTTTTTTTTGGGGGGAGGGTTGGGAGACAGGGTCTCCCTGTGTAGGTCAGGCTGGCTTTAACTCACTACATAGTCTGGTGCTGAACTCAAACTTGTGGCAATCCTCCTGCCTCAGCTTCCTGAGTGTTGCGATCACAGGCATGTGCCACTGTTGTGCCCCAGTTCACTATGTTATCAGCAGGGCTGAGTGAGCCGAAGTGTGAAGTGCCCAGTGATGCCTGGCGCGTGGCAGCACTGAAGGAACATGAGCTGCTAGGACGAACATGATTTCCCTCTGGTCTCCCCCTCCCACGCTCCACTTCCTCCTCTCTTTGTATATTGCCCATGAGAAGATTTTTAGGGGTTCTGAGGGAGGCCTGGGACTGGCTCTTGGGATGTCATGGAGGAGATAAAGGATTGGGCTGGGGGTGGCAGGGCAAAGGACGGGGAAAGCTGGCTGCAGCCTTTGCCCTTTGGTTCCAGCGCACTTCCTGTCTTTGACAAAATTCACCTTTTGATGTCCCAGTCTCTGCATGTGCACCAGGGGACTAGAATCCCAGCTGACTATTATTGCTACTATTATTATCACTGCCCCAAGTTCCTGATCTCCTCCCAGGAAATAATTTAGCAACTGCTGAAGCCACCAAGGGGCCGGGGCCAGATGAGATATATGCCAGGGGACATGCTAGTCTGAGGGGAAGTCTGCGTGCACAGTCTATGTTGCACTCATTTCCACACCCATGCACACAAGTGCACACACGCACACACACATACACACACCACCAACAACAGCAACAAATGACGATGCCTGAAGAAGGAAAAACAAACATTCTGAGTTTATTCAGTGGCAGAGACTTTTAGGAGACAGAATTACAGTAAATCTAAAAATAAGCCCTGCTGTGCTTTTTCCTTAAATGCACAAAAGGTTTCTCTTTTCTACCTGCCTAGGGAACAATACAACCCAGCAGACACATTTGGCCTAATTTTGTTGCGTAGGAGTCAGAAAAGCTCAGGGGAGAAAGAGTTCCTGAGATTGTAGCTTACTGCTTGAAGATCAAACCGAGGGAAAGTTATTTTTATACTTAGTGGGTTGGGTTTTTCATTTTGTTATTTGTTTGTTTGTTTTCATCTCCTTTCAACTGCCTGGTTATTTATCTTTATTAGGGAGTTTGTCTTTTTTTTTTTTTTTTTTTTTTTTTTTAAGACAAAGTCTCCCTATTTAGTTTAGGCTGGCCTTGAACTTGTGATCTTCCCACCTCAGCCTCCTGAGTGCTGGAATTACAGGTGTGCGTCACATGCTCAGTGGGATTTGTCTTGTTAAACAAAGTATTTTCCTTTCCTTGATTTTAGAAGATAGCCTGTTAACACTTTAATATATTTTCTTTTAGTCCTTTTTTTTCTTTTTTTGGTACTGATGATGGAACTCAGGACCTTGTGCTTACAAGGCAGGTGGCGGTACCACTGAGCTAAATCCCCAGCCCAGCCCTATGCTTTTGTTTTTTAATGTATTTATATTTATTATTATTTAATACAATGTATTGATTTATTATTTGCAGTGCTGGCGATCAAACCCAGAGTCTTACATGTGTTAGGTATGCATTCTACCACTGAACCACATAACCTAGCAGTTGCCTTTATTTATGATTCTAGAATCTGAAAACACTTCTTTTCATAAAACAGAGTAAGTGTTCTTATGCTTTTTATTTATTTTTATGAAAATAAATTTTTGTGCTTGCTTCGGGAGTACATATACTAAGATTGGAACAGTATAGAGAAGATTAGCACGGCCCCTGCAAGGATGACACTCAGATTCGTGAAGCGTTCCATATGTTTTCAGATGGTTGGAGTAAAAAAGAAAAGAAAGAAAAAATAATTTTGAGACAGGGTCTCACTCTGGCTTGTCTTGAACTCCTGATCCCCCTGCCTCAGCTTTCCAAGCGCTGGAATTGACAAGTGTGCAACCCCCCCCCCCCCCCCCCCGCTCAGCTGTATGCTCTGGTGAAACAGCGAAGTCCACGCGGTGCCTTCAGTGTGGTATCTGCACACACTGGCAGAATCTGACCCATCTGCTTGATGCCTGTGGTGTGTTTCTTTCGAGTTTCTTTCTGGCATTTCTTCATTGTTTTGTACATATTTAGATGTCACTAAACAATATATTGTTTAATTTTGCATGGTGCTTTGAACATTGTAAAAATGTCAACATAGTATAGGTCAGAGAAGGAGGAGAGTCAAGAAACCTTAGGGCCGTCACTTGGGGCACCGGGAGACCGAGCTGGGTGTCTTACTGATCATGGTGAGCTGTGAACACGGTCGAAGCAGGGTCATTTTCCAAGTGAGTCAAGGCATAAAGAAAGATTGAAAGCAACAGTTAAGTTCATGGGGCTCAAGTGGTCAAACCCAGAGCCTCATGTTAGAATGACAAGTGTCTTTCTCATTCATTCACTCTTAGTGTTGTATAGCATTTATTTTTGTAGGACCATAAAAGTTACAGAATTACCTTTAACCTGTGAACAGATCTGTGGGTCCTTTCCCGTGTTTGGTAATATCAAGCAGTGATTTTATGAACAGTCTTAGGTATATGTCTTGCCTCGCTCTGTAAGAGTTCTTAATTTAAGGGGTACATCCATGCCAGGCCGGAGGGTGGGTACATCCTTACATATGCTAGAAAATGCAAATTGTTTTCCACAGTGATTGCACAAATAATTTGAATTTCTCCCAGCAAGTGTGTACAAGTTCCTGTTGCATGGCAGAGGCATGGCAGTGTATCTTTAGACTTTTTAGTATTTATCATTCTGGTGGAAGAAAAATGATATTTTTTTCTTCCCTTTTCGTTCTTTCTTTTTTGGGGGAGGGGGTTTGAGACAGGGTCTCGCTGTATAATCCATGGTGGCCTCAAACTCATGGTGATCCTTCTGTCTCAACCTCCCAAGTGTTGGGATTATAGGTGTACTCCACCATGCCTGGCTCAAAAAATGATACTTATTTATTTTAATTTTTATTTTCTTAATTTTGATTATGTTTTAGAACTTTCATTTTTTTGCTTTTTTGAGACAGGGTCTCACTATGTAGTTCAGACTGACCTGGAACTCACTATGTAGCCCAGGCTGGTCTCTAACTCACATCAATCCTCCTGCCTCAGCCTCCCGAGTGCTGGGATTGAAATATAGGCGTTCGGCACCACTCCCGGCTAGGATTTTTAAAAGTGGTTTTATTTATGTACCATTTGTGTTTTCACTTTTATATTAAATTTTTTTTTTTTTTTTTGAGTCAGGGTCTCACTATGTAGTTCAGGCTGGCCTTGAATTTGCAGTGATCCTCCTGCCTCAGCCTTCTAAGCGCTGGGATTATAGGTGGTTTTCTTTCCTTTGTAAAAGTATTTGTTAACATACTATCATCACTTTTCCTGTAAAAGTATTTGTTAACATACTATCATCACTTTTCCGTTGCTTATCTTTCCAAGAGTTCTCCATATAGTGTAAGTACCATTCCTTAGTTAATGTAGATATTTTCTCCAAGTTCCCCACCCTCCCATACCCATAATCAAACTAAGGACCTTGCACTTGCTAGGCACATGCAGCACCACTGAGCTAAATACATGGCCCTCCAAGTTAGTTTGTTAGTTTGTTTGTTTATTTATTTATTTCAGACAGGGTCTTACTCTGTAATTCAAGCTGGCACTGTGTAGCCCTGGCTGATTTTGAATTTACGGTGATCCCTCTACCTCAGCTTTGAGAGTGCTGCGACTTGGGCTTATTTTTTATTTTATTTTTTGAGACAGGGTGTTGCTATGTAGTTCAGGCTGGACTTGGACTCAACTGTGTAGCCCAGGCTGGCCTCAAACTTTCTAGTTTACTAGATTTTTTTTTTTAAGATCATGTTGAATTTATGAAGTTTTTTGTTTGTTTGTTTGGTTTTTTTGCTGGACATAATGGTGCACACCTATAATCCCAGCACTCAAGATGCTGAGGCAGGAGGATTGCCATGAGTTTGAGGCCAGTCTGGACTACATAGTGAGTTCAAGGATACCCTGAGCTGCATAGCAAAACGCTGTCTCCAAAAAAAAAAAAAAAAGTTTTTTGTGTGACTGCAATCTTGTGATTTAACTATTTTAATGTTATGATGATAAGTGTAAAAAATAAATATCTACCTTAAACTATCATGGCATTGCCTGGATAAACCACACATTCTTCTTTTGCACTTGGGAGGCAGGCAGTGGCACCACTGAGCTAAATCCCTGGCCCATAATGTCATTCTTTATAACTGGTGATTTAATTTGCTAAAGTTTTGTTTGGGGACTTTGCCTTCCTGTGTGATATTGACTAATGATTTTTCTTTTTTTATATTATTTTGGCTTCATATTTTGTTTGATTGTTTGCTTGTTTTGAAATAGGGTCTTGCTATGTATTACAGGCTGGCCTTGAACTTACTTTGTAGCCCAGGGTGGCCTTGAACTCTGATCCTCCTGCCTCAATTTCCTGAGTACTGGGATTACAGGATTACAGCTGAGATCTTGTCTTTTTTTGGTACCGGGGATCGAATTTGGTCCTTGCGCTTGTGTAGTCTTTATTTTATTTATTTTTGGTTTAGCTTAGTTTAGTTAATTTATTTATGTATTTATTTATTTATTTGGTACCAGGGATTGAACTCTCTTGTGTTTGTGAGGCAGGCAGTGGAAGGACTGAGCTAAATTCCTGGCCCCATATGTATTTATTTATTAAGCTTAGTTTAGTTTTTTTTTTAATTTTTAAATTTTTTTATTTTTGAGACAGGGTCTCACTATGTAGTTAAGACTGACCTGGAACTCACTATGTAGCCCAGGCTGGTCTTGAACTCACAGTGATCCTCCTGCCTCAGCCTCCTGAGTGCTGGGATTACAGGTGTGTGCCACCACGCCTGGCCTAATCTTAGTTTAGTTTAGTCCAGTTTAGTTTAGTTTTTTTAATTTTAATTTTTTGGTATGAGGCATCTAACTTGGGACTTCGTGCTTGTGAGGCAAGCAGCGGAACCACTGAGCTAAATCCCCAGCCCTAGTTTTGTTTTGAGACAGGGTCTTGCTTTATCCTTCAGCCTGACCTTGAATTTGTTACATAGCCCAGTTGACCTTGAACTCATGATCTTCTGCCTCAGCCTCCTGAGTGTGGGGATTATAGGCATATACCACCTTGCCCAGGTTGAGATCTTCTTTTTAAAAAGAAAGAAAAAATGAACTTTTTGTTTAAACTTTATCTTTGCTTTCTATGTCACCAATTTCTTCTCCCATTTTTATTGCTTTCTTATGCCTACTTTCCTTTGATTTATTTCTGTGATTATTTTCCAATTCTTTAAGTTGCATTAGCTTATGATATTTCAATATTTATTTTTAATCTAAGCATTTCAAGTTATGTGTTCCCTCCTAAAATGTTGGTTTACCTGTATGCAATGCATTTTGACATGTTGTATTTTAATTCAGTTCTAAGTATGTCCTAGTATCTACTTTAAATTGTCATTTGATCTTTGGCTTGTTTTTAGAAGTATGCTCATATGTTTTCAAAACCATAAGGTTCCTTCTGTTATCATTTTGTGATGTGTTTCCAGATGAATTGCTTGTGGTTAGAGAACGTAGTATGCATCCTGTGCTTCTGAACGTGGTTGTACTTTACAGACTGACTGGCGGACAAGGTTTGTGAAGTAAAAATCTCATGGGTGGCATTTTGGTATACATTGTTTTGACTCCTCACAGTAAAAAGTCCAAATACAGAATTCTGTTTATCTGACAGATGAGGAAGCCGAGGCTCAGAAAGGTCAGTAGAGGAGGAAGGTATTAATTCAGATTAGTTTAACTCAAAACAAACATTTTTTTAAAAATTCACTTATGGTAATTATTCAGTCATTTGGGAAATAAGATAAAAAAGATACTCATAGGATATCAGCGCTAGCTCTTCCTTTCTATCTCTCCCTACTCGTGTTCTCTTTTGGGGGCCCTGGGCCAGGCTCTGGCCTAGCACAGAACCTGTGGCCTTGCCCTTGAGGAGCCCATGCCGCTGCCTGCCTTCTGGCACTGAAAATCATTTATTCTCTTAGTGCACTGTGAAGAGGAATCTCATGGCAAACACGGGGAGGGAGATGTTAAATAAATAGATGCTGCTATTTCGGGGCTGTGTGTTGGGATGGTCTTAGTATTACTGTTGGTTGTGTGTTCTCAGCCCCGGCTCCTTCCCAGTCTCTTTCTCTACCTCCTTGTCCTAGGCCCTCCCAGGTTTCCCTCGCTGGCTCTCTGGGAAGTTTCACCTCCTGCCGACTCTGTGGCTTGCTCATGTTTGCTGGCTGCCCCAGCACAGCCCTCACTTTGTCTCTGTTTTTCGCTGTAGTAGCCCTCGCTGACCCTTGACTCTGTGAAGGAGGCACTGTTTGTCCTTGACCTCTGGGAGTGAAGACTGTAAACATCCCTGAGGCTTTGCCTCCTCAGTTCATGCAGTGGCTCCACCTTTAGGGCCAGGCTGTTTTCTCATGAAGTAGGTGTCTCAGTGTAGCTTCCCAGATAACCTCGTAACAGTTATTACTCCTTCTTTTCAGATGAAGAGACTGGAAGGAAGTTTAAGGTGAAAATTTGTGAAAGGTCTTGGCCACAGTTGAAGATCAGGCCCACCTCCAACTTTCTTCTCCCCATTCTGCTGTCTTGGGAAGCTTAAAACTGCATCTGTACTGTTAGCAATTGGTAACCATAGATAGTCACTGGCCTTCTAGGAACCCCAGTGTCTTTATCATAGAACTGGGAAAAGTCACCCACCTTCCCTTTGCATGTGAGTGTGGGATATTTCAAAGCAACTGGAATGCTCTTTCTAGAGGACATACGA